GCGTCTTCTTTCGCGTTGCCGGCGGCGATGCGGCCGACTTTGGAGAGACTCAGGCGGCCACCGCTCCTCAGCTGGAAACCGTCCACGTCGGCGACACTGCTCACAAGGTGAACCCTGATCAGAAAAATCTGGCCTACAATCACAATTTGACCATTCCGGGCACTGGTGAGTGGAGTGATGCAATCGTCAGTGGCTGCTACTACAGTACACCGCTCTACATGAGCTTTAAGCATTCGGAAGGAGTGGAGGTGCGGCCAAAAAATATGGCCATCAAGGTCTTCAGGCGGACATCGTAAAAGAGAGAAAGAAAAAGGAAAGGTTTTTGTGCTTTTTGGCAATTAAAATGTGCAGTTTTGCTTGTAATCTGCTCTTGAAAAGTTATCTGTTAAGCGTTTTAAAGGGTTTTTGAGATACTTGATTACTGTTGATAAGTGTTTTTGGAAGTGCACCAAAGAACGACTAAAACTATATTTTTTACATTTACACTGTTGCACTCAAACATAGGTTCATCAAACTTGTTAAACTCCAACACTGATTGCTGTTTACTGCGACTTACAAAATAATTATCACCAAATCAATGATGAACTTAACACTGATTCACCTTCGGTACAGTAAAAACACAACAGGATGTCAGCATCTTAGACAAAAAGTAATAATAAGCAGCAATTCACTTGCTTTTGAATAGGCCAACAGTCAAGATGAAGTTCTCTTTATTGACAATTTTACTTATTTCAATCAGCATTTTTGGTAACATAAATCATTTTGTTAAAAATTTTTATTGAAAATGTTTGCTTACTTAGACAGAACTTTCATTGATGCCTTCTCATCTCCTTGCGGTGACTGGGAGCAGTTCAAGGACGAACACTGCTACAAACTGTTTGACGGTTTAGTGTCGTACAGTGATGGAGAAAAGATATGCCAGACAAACAATGCAACTTTAGTTTCGATTCACTACGCAGAAGAACAGAACTTCCTCGCCCACTACATTTTCACTAAAAAGAAGACAGTGGACAACGTGTGGATTGGCGCCAAATACGATAAAGACGGCAAAACCTTCTACTGGGTGGATCGTACCACTTTAAGCACCAAAAGTAGCTTTAGCAACTGGGCATTGGGCAATCCAAAAAACCTGACCGACTACTGCGTTCAAATGCACTCTGATGTCGGCTCAGTGGGTAAGTGGGTCGATGAACCGTGTGCCCGAAAGAACTTGGTCGCTTGTCAGCGACCAGTGCCCTTGCCGGAAGCACTCATCTCAGAAACGGTAGTCGAGCTGAAACACCTTCTTCAGTTGGTCAGCGGCAAACTGACTGAAACGTCCAATCGGCTGACAAAAACCGAAGTGTTTTTAGAAAATACTGAAAAAAAGTTGACACAGGTGGAGAACAGGCTGTCAAAAACAGAAGCAGTTTTGGCTAAAATTGAGACAAACCATGATCAAAATTCAAACTCTAAACTGGTGAAAGTAGAAGAGGAGTTGAAAAAAACAGAAGGGGCTTTGACAAAAATTNGTTGACACAGGTGGAGAACAGGCTGTCAAAAACAGAAGCAGTTTTGGCTAAAATTGAGACAAACCATGATCAAAATTCAAACTCTAAACTGGTGAAAGTAGAAGAGGAGTTGAAAAAAACAGAAGGGGCTTTGACAAAAATTGAAAACTCTTTATCCAGTTTATCAATTAGACTAGCAAAAGCAGAAGCTATTTTGGCACTCAATCAGCAACAAAAATCCAGCATTGATTCGGTAATTCCCATTGGTTTCATCTACGTTCAGCTGCCCAAGGACAAGGCTCCGGCTGAACTGTGGCCCACTTTGACATGGCAGGAAGTTTCTGATGACTACGAGGGCGTCTTTTTCCGAGTGTCTGGCGGTGATGCGGCCGCTTTTGGAGAAGTTCAAGAGGCGCACGCCCCTCGACTGTCTTCGGTTGGCATGAGTCACATGAGCTATCAGCAGCAACACATTCACCACGGTCGTGCAGTTGACTGGAGCAGCTACTCAAAGGCGACCATTCACCCCAGTGGAGAGTGGAGTGAGCCAGTGATGACCGGTTGTCTAGTGCAGACTACTGACGCCCTCTTTATGCGCTTCAGGACCACTGGTACATCTGGAAAGAGCATGACTGAGGTACGGCCTAGGAATATGGCAGTCAAGGTGTACCGACGAACGGCTTAATTCCAACACAATCTGTTTTTTGTGAAAAATTTTGATTTTAAATTAAAAAATTAAAATTTGAGTTGTCATTAACAATGAAACTTTAGTTTTTTTAATTTTTCAAACGTGATTTTTTTGCTTTTGGCAATGTACATCCTATCAACATAAATTGAGTTATTTACTTTTTAAAAACACCCACGGATTTTGTCATTTTGCTTTTTATGTAATTACAAACTGATTAAGTATCACAAATCTACTAGTAGCAGTCAGTTGCTTCTTTTGTTGCAATAACCCACTGTACAGATTACCCAATTCTCAGAAACAACAAGTCATTTTCACATAGACACTACTTTTCTACATAACCCTATTGCACATTGTAAGATAAGATACGTAGAACTTAATTTTTAGGCAAATGGAGATACTGCTTGGGTGACAGCATAAAAAATGATGCTAAGTAAAAGAAAAAAACGTGTAAAGGTAGAGTTCCTCACACAGATACCGACCAAAAGAGTAAAATATAAAAATTGTTGCTTTGCCAGCTACTGAGCAGTACAGTGCACAGGGTACAAAACTGCTCATCCAAACAAAAATATCTTGTAACAAAAACAAAAGTTTGTTGTTTTTGCATAACATGCATCACATTTCAACAGCTTCTCATCACTAGTAGCCCCAAACTGATGTTATGCGCTAATATGACGCAGTCGACGTCTATTTCTGAAGGAGAGGCCATTCAAACCTCTGAAAATATGCCTAAAACCAGAACAATTCCAGATGAAAATACTGCCTTTTTTCAAAAACGTCACCGGCTATCCGGTTGCCTGCCGTATAGTGCCCGGCTAGAAGAGACTCGTCGCAAACAATGGCATCAACTGAAAGAGCATTTTTCCAGTGCTCTACTAGAAGGTGGCCACTCTCTGAAAGTTTGGATCAAGCAGATGGACGCCTATCTCAGTGTGCATCGATTCGCCTTCAGCAAAACCGAGCACATTCAACTGGTGACCGGATTGTGGAGTGCAGTACAACACCTAGACGATGACCTGCCGACAATGGCCAAAGTGGTGCCGTTGCTCAATCAACTTTTATCGTGAGTAAAAAAAATAGCATGTTTGTTTACACATTTAAAACACTTTCATTTGCTAGGAAACCACACCTCCTTACTCGGGATGACCTTCAGGAGGTGGACTGGCGATCACTGTACCGCCTCTTCTTGCTGGTTGACGGCAAACACCCTGCTGCCAAGAAGCGCACACTCCGTCCTCCAATTGGCTTTTCCACTGACTTCAGAGTGCTGATCCGCTCTTTCAAGCTCTATTTTGCAGTTTCGGCAACTGCCGAAGTTCTGGACCATTTTAAGCCAAAGCTGTGCGTTTACGGACAAAATTACGCAACTGTACTTGGTGAACTGGATCTTTTTCTGCCCACTGCCATCATCATTAGTTCCCAGCAAAAAAGTGATCACGAGTTGTGGTTCACCGGCCTTTTACGATGTTGGTTTCAAAATCCACTTGAATCAAAGCTTGAAAACTTATATGTGATCTTCTTCTCTGAAGTGGCCAAACAGCTTAACGGCCATCTGGACTGGGAGCCCTACCTACCGCAAATCTTTGACCGTTTGCGACACCTAATGACCACTGACAGCGATTGGACAAAAGTAAAGATATCCATTTTCACGTTTATAGTGTACCTGATCAATGAACAGTCAAGTGCACTTGAAAAGATGAAAGCCTTATACAGCAGTGGAAGTGCTGGAAATAAACTGCTGAGCTACTCTGACGCGCTGACCGAACTTTTGGAAAAATTTGTTCAGCGTGCTCGTGCTGAGCGGAAAGCCGTGGAGCAAGGTTATTGGTACTTCTCTACGCCTCCTTCGCATCGACTGACGCCCGAACTGATTGACCACTTTGCCGAGTTCATCTTTGATGAGGTCATCTTTGAGCGACTCGAACTAGGCGACTCGGGCCTTCCGGTGAAAACGCTCAACAAACTAGCCCTCCTGTGCACTGAAACTTTTGCAAGACGTCTACTTTTTCAAAAATGGGCCCTAGCAGTGGAGCGAGCCAGTGAACCGGACCGAAAGCGCTCCGTCCTTAAGCTGATGGCCGTCTTTCTGTACCCGGTGCTGAAGAACCGCAGTGAGGAAATCAAGTCTGCGTATGCAAACCAAATGGACTCCCTTCTAGTGGAAACATTGTCTAGCCTGAGCACCACCGACGAGCAGTTTGCCTACTACCAACTGCTGCTACTTCGATCAATCATTTGGCTAAAGATTGGCGGTGTTCACTGCGCATCTTCATTTGCCTCCTCATTTGATTGGAACGCCTTCACTGAGTCCTTCATTGGGGTGTGTTTTATTTTGGTGGAGAGCAACTGCGAGACGATGTTCAGCACAGTCAACGGCGACGATATGAAGGAGTTGATTTTTGAGATTCTCCAGTACAGTTTGGCTGCAATTGAAGATGAGGAGCAGTGTAGCGTAAGAAAAATAAGCGTTTACATTTATAATAGGCTTTTTCTAACAAACCTGCTTTTCAGAATCACATTGACCGAATTATTTCTTTTGTTTTCGGTCAAATCACAGACCAAAGACACGCCATGAGGCTTCTTTCAGAAATGCTTTACGTCGTGATGGGCGCAAATCGTCATGAAACAGTTCAACTGTACGCAATCAGCAAAATTCTACTCACTCTCAAGACGAACATTTTCTCGGCAATTGACAACGAAGCGGCTTTTGCCGACACTTGCCAGAGCCAACTAATGCACAACCTTCGCCTTTTGCAAACGTTTTTCAATCTTCCTGATGGGCGTCTCCTGTTGCGTCACGAAACAGAGATCATTGATCTGCTGACAACCGTCTATGATCTTCAGTTTGATTATCATTTTAAGTGGTCAAATGTGGTGTTTAGTTTCCCTTTGGATCTGCTCTTTTTTTCTCTAAACTGTTTTTACCTGGTTAAACAACCTTACAATTTTACGATGGCGAGTTTTTCTGGAACAAATGAACTTCTGCATCAGGTTTTGCCTGAAGACCTTCCTGTTCGTTGGCACACTCCTTCTGAAGAAGAGATTAATTTTGTCCGCCGACTGCTGAAAACTTTCATTGGTCCGCAAATTCAGTTTTTACAAAACTTTGTTGCTTCAAGCTCTTTAAACAGTGCTAAAGAACCAACTTTTTTTGCTCAATTGGAAAAAGCAATCATGTTTTTGGTGAGCCTTGATAGTCTGGTAAAACTTAAAAATTACAAATATCCGCCATTAGTTACTGACAGTGATGACAGGTTAGTTTCATTATTTGGTGAATTTAATCATGTTAATGTAGTGTTTTGTTTTAATTACAGCATCAACGAGCATTCCTTCAAGTATCACAATTTGAACAACAACTGCTGTTTGACTGATCTTTTCTCTTTAGATGAAGAAATAGACCTTTTTGGAAAGCAAACTGAGTTTTCCAAAGTTAGCAATTTCTCTTTTGTTCATGAGCTAATCAAGTTGTTGACTGCCGTTTCCACCAAGTTGCGGCACTCTGAAATCAATGTTGACATTTCGTTCTTACTAGAAAATATAACCGATGTAAGTTGGTACTAAAATCAAATAGAAAAACAATACTGATGACACATTCTTTAGATTTGCAATTTTTGCCTCTTTCCGAACAAAGTTGGAGGCGGTCCCAGTTTAGCTACTCACCACACTCGTACTGAGCACGTTTTCACTGCTGATCTGTTCAAACCCGCCGGTGACCACCGGCGACTGCCGCCAATTCAAGCCCAACGCCTGAATGATTACAATCGAAAGGTGCGCAAAGCACTTCAAGTTCAAAGCTCAGAGTTGGTTTTCACGGCGGCCCACCAAGTGGCCACCACCCACTTGTTGCTTGATCTCGCACTTGACCAGTCGTCGGAGGTTCGTCAGAGCGCACAGAGTGTCTTAAACTCCATGTGGACTACCTTTCCGGGGACTTTTGAGCGGTACGCCGTTCCTCGACTGTTGACCGCCCTGACGCAGTACGAAAGCAACTACGAGGCTT